CAGACAACTCGTGGTGGCAAATACACTCTCACAGACATCCGACCACTCACCACCATCACTCAGCTGAAGGACACACGTGACGAAATCAAGTGGATTGTGGAGATGGCTGTGAATGTGGAGAGGATGTTGGAGGAGAAGTTGACTGAGATGTGTGTGTTGTCACGAGAGAGGGGTGATCTCGCCACCGAACATCATATCACACATTATCACCTGCATCCTCAGGTGTATGTTCATCGAATGATGCTGGATCACATGCATCGTGTGAGTGGATGTGGTGATGTCTACACGTATGATCGGTGCACGATGATGGCTTTGGTGGAGAAAGTGAAACGGACACTGAGGAAGAGGATGAGTAAGAAGATTCGTGATGATGACGATGGTGATTTTGCTTCAGTGGATGACGAGATCATTGAAATGACGATCACGTGTGCAACAATGAAGCTGTAATTGTGTGGTGTGGTGTAGTATATTGTATTGTAGCTTAGTGTTGTGTTGAATGTTGTGTTCACATTCTGATTATTGTGTTAATTGCAGAATAAAATGATTGAATACAATGATTTTCACAATTCGATGTTGTTTTCAGTTAATTTCTGTATTCTAAATTGAGTCGGTTAATATCCGTTCGGTCGATTGTTTTTCCGTGTAGTTACAGTCTTGAGTTTTTCGGTCTTGTTAATTGTGGGAAGTTTGTGGGAAGCACTACCAGAATTGAAAATCAGTAATTTATCTGAACTTGTCAGCGTGCAACGCGAAATCCACAGTGGGTAATCCACTTTATGTATAATGTTGTTTCTACCAGTCGACTTAGATTTCCGATTGTTGTTAATGGCGCTTTCATCAATATTATCATTGTGTTGTTTGTAAGGCTTTTTCAAATTTAGAAAGAGCATTGAGACTGGGACAATCTAGGCTGTCAAATAGTTGAGATTGAGAGATTCACAGGAATATTCGCTGTCAACAGGCATGTAATTACTTCTATTTCGCTGTATTATAGTTAGTTTAATGTAATTTGGAGCTACATCGAAATCGGTTTAATCAGTTTTTATTTGTGCAGATCCATCTCATTAGACGGAGGGACGATTTGGAACTCTATGTTTGGCATTGATATAGCCATATCTGATCTCACCGAAATTCTTTTCCAGCTTTTATTAGAAATCTTCCGTTCTTTCGTGTTCTGATTTCATTTGACACGCTAAGCTTTCGATGATCGTAACCTTCTTTTGGTGTTGAAGCTTGGGGTTATTATCTTGTGTGAGATTGGTTCTCGCTGCCTAAGGTCCCGAGCTGCTGTTGGAGAAGTCATTATACCCGCTCTCTTCGTCAGTATGCTCGTGGTTGTCGTCCGAGTGACAGGATTGGATTTTTGACTATCCAGTAAAGGATTTGCATAGTCCACTCACACATAATCTGCTCACACTTATTCTTAGGAACTCAATACTATGTCTTCTCATATGTCCCTAAGAAACAACTGAATAGAGTTTGACTATATACTGTTTGAAACCACACTGTCTGTGTGAACTAGTCATTCAACAATCCATTGAAGATCGCTCGACTAACTGGTCATAATTCATCCTGCATGTTGAATCCTTTCCCAATGGAATACTCATCGTCTCCATCCATTTCATACTATCTTTGTATGTACAGTCAACTACTCACCACATTTGTCACAGAAATACCGCTTATTTCGTCAGCCTATATCTAATGCGTTATTCTAGGTGAAAAACGTGTGTATCCGTCACATAACCTGGTGTTATTGTTAACGTATAACAACTATAACAGCCTGAAGGGAATACTTTGAAGAGTCTATTCCTTGTTCCGACCGTCTGATAACACAAGAATAAGTTATTACAGTAGAGTGAAGAAATTTTTAATATGAAATGATGCGAAAGTTTACCTTATCTGTCTGACTAATTACACTTCTTTGACGAAAACTAACTACATTCCGTGATAAAGTTCATTTATTTAATTAGTGATAATCACGCCATTATATGAAAACTAGAGTTTACTATTTCCTGATATCCTCTGTCTCTAAATACCTCCGATTTTACAACCACTGTAAAGGTACACTCAAAGAATTATAAAAGTTTCGTATGATTTCGTATCTAGTGAGAACCTGGTTAAATTCATAAGAAAGATATTGCGTTCATTTGTGATATTTGCTCGTTATACTCTGCTATCTCCAGTTTCGAAATTCTTGATATCATTTCCGCTTTAATAGTGAGTGTCACACAGAATCCTATCACAAAGATGTTGACTGGACACCAGTGAAATAATCAACAGCCTAATATTCTGTCATGAACGTAAGCATTTTACATTTAGAGGGAATTTATATAAACAAACAAATGGTGTTGCTCTGGATTCACTAGCTTCCCCAGTAGTCGCTGATCTTTTTATGAATAGATTCGAAGATAGCATCTTTTCAAGCATACTGACGCCAAAACATGCTTAAGATACATTGATGATACTTTCTTTTGTAGTGCTACAACGAGATCTAAGCAATTCATTCTTGCAGAAACGGAGCAATAGATATTCCAACATCCAGTCTGCTTCAAAAGCAGAATCAGACGTCGATAAACTACCATTTATAGACTGCCTGCGTAGATAGTAGGCGGGAAAACGGATATTTCAATATATCTACATTCAGAAAGAAAACGCACTCCAATAAATATTTAGACTTCAAGTCGTCACGCCTCATCAGCGCGAAGGTATCAGTTGTTTCAAGTCTCTCTAGGCGAGCACAACCTTTGATAACGGATGAGAATGAAGAAAACAGAAGAAGAGATGTCAAAAACCACTGAGACTCTCAAGCAAAATGACTATCCAAAGAACTTCATCAACAAAATCAACACTGCCATTAAATGTGGTCGGGAAGTTATTCCAAAGACTTGAGGCTCAACAGTTGTCATTCCATATACAGAACAGAGATGTCAGACGATATCAGAAGAGTACTCAGCAAGCACAACATCAGAGTTTTCTTCAAAACACCAGAAACACTTCAAAGCAACCTTCTTCGTAAAACAGACTAAATCCCTAAGGGTTCTCATTTTAATTGTGTCCACAAAATAAAATGCCTGAATGTGATGTCATTTAAATCTGGCAAACATCTCGAGAAATCAAAATCAGAAGAAATGAAGGCTGTAGGGAATCTGTTCGACCACTGAGAGATCCAACTGAACTCAAAAATCTTGAAAAGTCACCAGCCATAGATGGTGGTCTACACACTATAGAATCCTGCCACGAAATTGATTTCGACAGTATTGAAATAATCGACTATGAAGTCAGAAATCACAAAGGTAGTCTAATATCAGAAGCACTTCATATCAAATGGAGTCGAAATTGTCTGAACAAGAATAATGGACTGAAACAAATTTGACCTGGTTACAGCATCCCGCATTCCCTGATGAAATGACGAAATCAACACGAATGTGATAAGCAAATTCATCATGCAGACACACGCTGCTTTTATAATTTTACACGCTTATCAAATCCAGCAATCTATACCTGGTTTATTGTAAACTTTGTTTGATACCGGGGTAGATATACTACTATTGTGACGACAGAAGACAAGGAAGGGCGAGGCAACAGGTCGTCTATTGAGGAAATCAACAGGTATTCACAGATTTTTATATGCATTAATTATTAGCGTTACTGTTAGCGGAGAAGAAACCTCTTTTGATTGGTAGTTTTCTGGCTGAAGATTATTCTGTTATCCGTTCACAGCCGTTTATCAGAAAACCACGTCATGTATCTGTGATTCATATTCAGACAATTTAACGTCTCTGTAATTGTCTGGTGGTTTCCTAAAGGTTAAGCTTTCTGATGATTCTTCTCATGTCCCTGATTCGAGACGTGGACATTGACGCTAACTGTCAAAGCAATATATGTGTGTAAAACTTGATCACTGTGGTAGTAAGTAATTTCACATTGTCAGAAACGTCATCCAGTAAATGATATTTTTTCACTGTGTGATACACCTAATAAACAGACTAATATGGACGTAAATTAACGTTTACAATTTTTTTGCATGCAGACAGCTCTCAACACACCATTACCTCTTTTACTTGATTTACAGATCTCCATTGTTATTTTGACCTCCAAATGAACATTCGAGTTGACCTGAGTCTATTTTCCCACAAATTACCTCTTTGTTATCTTTGACAATCGGCCAGAGTGACCGCTCGAAAGTCAGCCAATGCTGACGAACGAACGATGATTAGGCTGTTATACATATGCTGAGATTTTGTCAACTCTCTCTAATTAATTCTATAACAAAGCTAATAATATTAGGTAGCGAAATGTCTGTAATAACAACTTCGCGTTGTTTTTCATTCATTGGGAAATGCAAATATTTTATACTTACAACAGTCTTCCTTTCTCCTGTTTAAAAGCATTTTGTCTGTGTGTATTAGCCACTCACCAAGTCCCTTGGAAATCGTTCAACTAACTGGTCAACGTTCATCCTGCACGTTGAATCCTTTCCCAATGGAAATACTCATCGTCTTCATCCATTTCATAGTATCTTTGTATGTACAGTCAACTACTCACCACATTTGTCACAGAAATACCGCTTATTTCGTCAGCCTATATCTAATGCGTTATTCTAGGTGAAAAACGTGTGTATCCGTCACATAACCTGGTGTTATTGTTAACGTATAACAACTATAACAGCCTGAAGGGAATACTTTGAAGAGTCTATTTCTTGTTCCGACCGTCTGATAACACAAGAATAAGTTATTACAGTAGAGTGAAGAAATTTTTAATATGAAATGATGCGAAAGTTTACCTTATCTGTCTGACTAATTACACCTTCTTTGAAGAAAATTAACTACATTCCGTGATAAAGTTCAATTTATTTAATTAGTGATAATCACGCCATGACTTCGTGGATAACAGTAATTGAAAATGTTTGGAAATGTTGCGATATCTTCACTATTTTCATTTGTCGATTTGAATCTTTAGAATAAATTTTTGTATAAATACATCAGATTTCAAGCTACTACACATTATCATGGCGTTCGCTTTCCTATCAATAGAAATCTCTTCGTTCCTCCTTCTCCTGAGTTTATCTCTACTGACGGGTAAGCGCTACTCAATTTCTTTCTGTACATATTGCATTCATATTTTGTACCTGACTTAAAAGTAGAGAACTCACATGGTAGAACTGCTTTTAGAGTATTTGATGATCGATGATTTGTGCAAACTTATGAACCATTGCATTCGACCAGATCTATCAGGCGTCGATGTGAATATCATTTTCTGATGAACTTGAGGTACAGACGACATGACAACCCAATCTAGTCATTTTTCTGACACATACCGATAACACGAATTCGCATACACTTCATGCATTTCTATTGCACAAATTGTGTGCATTGATGATTTCAGTTTCACGATTACAAACTGACATTAAGTCGCATCAATTTGAAACTCCTACTCAGTGCAGATTGAGTGCACAAGATAAGCATCTACGTGTCTCTTACGAAATGATAGATGAGTGATTCTCCCTCACTGTCGACAATTGATTCGTGCGATTAAATATACTCACTTGCACATATTATCAATAAATCAATGAATTAATTATTTCTCCTTTTCTGAAGCTAATCTGCCGCCTCGGCTTCGAAGTGAGTCATTTCACATTGAACGGTAATTTAAGCTTTCATGTTGGCCTTAGTCTACTATAGTCCAATTGTGTCTGACTTGTAAACTTTTTTGAAATGTGAAGTTGCCTGTCGAATATCCAGTCAACTCAGGAATCAATATTCGGTAATTCTACAATGTCCCACTTTCGAATACTGCTCTCCACAATTAGTAGTTTGTCGGCTAATTCTGGGTTATTATCGACTAGTCTGGTGGTGAGACATCATGTAAATTCTGCTGCAAAGAAATGCAGTGAGTGAAACAACTTCATCTAATCCAGCAGGATATTGGTGGTGGACTCTGGGAATCTGCACTATGTGGATATGTAGAAATCGACTTCATCATTTCATGTTTCCAAACGGTGTAAAGCGAAATTCTCAATGTATTCACATTGTGTAGGCGATGATGGTGCGAAGCTACTCAGTTCCCATCTGTGATAGTTAACGCCTAAATGAGGAGGCTTGACAATCAAGATTTTCTAGTAGAACAGCAATTACTTCTTGTGTAGTGAGTGAGAGGATATTTCAAGCAGTATCCTTCCATATTGTCGAGTGAAATATTCTCTTCAATACGCTACTAATTGGACATTTCAACCAGTATTATTCATTCTCATAGAATGGGAAACATGCTGACACACATTTTCTCTGTGTCGCTCATTCTTGAAACTGAACAAGTCATGACATGAAACCAAGATTAATCGAATGAGTTGACACTCAGCTTTCTTGTTTTGAAGATGGGCCTCGTCTTACTCGCGTATTGAACAATTTAGACCGTGCCATCATCACTTTTGAAGGTAAGCGAATTCTTTTCAATATACTTCAATATTTCATGCATTAGCCCAACATTTGATATAGTAGTAACTTCTAGGTTCATTGAATGAATTTTCATTTTCATTTGTGGAATGATTTATCGTATTCTCTCTCTCCGAATTCACAATCATCTGAGTTGGAGGTGGTTGACGGAAGCATATACAGCATGTAACACTGGAAGCCTTTGTGAATGCAGACGAATTCAGCGTGACTGATGAACAGATTTGACATTTGCCATCATTCCTATAGACATCGTCAATTCATTTGTGAACATTTGCGATTGTTTTACAGGACAATTAATAGACGCGAATAACAGGAAAGCCACTGCGGAAGAACAAGCGAATACATTGGAAGGTGATTTTACAAGCCTGCTTTTACTTACCATGTGTACTTTGTATGTTATTTCTTAATTTGTTGTGTCGGTGATGCTTCGATTCAATGGTCTGCGTGTGGTAATTTAACTCTGTGATAGTATTATTATTATTATTAGTAGTAGTAATATATAGTTGAAAATAATGTGATTGTTGGACATATGAGGGAGTACAATAGGTTTATTCACTGTGTGATGTTTCGGAGGAAATTTATTATTCACAATGATATCACTTGCAGCTACAATATCACTAAGTCCCACACTTAGTCTCCACTTTCTTCCTGTCCTAATCTTTCAACAAATGTGGAGGGTTCACAGCCTCCAGTTATGTCTCCTACTAAGAATGATAGTGGTGTGATCAAGATTTACAACCAGTGATTCGATGACAGTCACAATATAACTAATAACAATTTCACGATGTTTCGTACAAACCTTTTGTTTCTTGAACTGAATGTGTGGTAATGCATCACTAGTCGCTGGAGGATGTTAGATACTTTGTACAGGAACATGCAGTAAATAATTGTCGAATGCAGTTCAAATTAGTGTAAACACCACTATCTAGGCATCAGTGGAGACAGAGAACTGGTGATTTCATTCTACCGTTTGTTTAGTCATGACTCATTATTTCGATATTTGAGAAGCGAGCAATATTGACTACACTCTCTTCCATGTCTTGCAGTCATGATTTATATTGCACGAGATAACAGACTGTTTGTCTCCTCCCCACTCCAGATCGCTTGCAAACACAGGCTAGAGAATCGGGAAGAAGTATCACTAATTGTAAGTCAACAAATTCAATCAATATTGAGAAATAATCCTTCTTTTAGTTGTCACTTGTCTATACAGTACATCTGGAAACTACTACCAACCGGAAATTTACAGAAGTACGTGAAATATGTGTTGTTCATCTTCAAACTGTAAGCAAAGTGACCAGACTATTGAAATACCTCGTTGATGAATAGACTTTCAATGAACGCCACTACTGAATATCAGACAGACATGTGAAAGTTGACGTTCAGTTGTTTAAACAATATGTCTGAATAATGCCACCTATTCAATTTGAGTATCTGTTGGTTAGGAATTGAGCACTTTTCATTATCCCGATTGTCATCTATCTTGAATTTGTTGTGTACTCATTTGTTTTCACAGACATTTCACGGACCATCAGAGAGGTACAGCAGTCATATGGTAAGTACGCCTTCCTACTTCATAACACATAGTGTTTGATGTTGTTCACCTTGCGTTTCAATCGGCGAGTTGTCGGGACTGATTTTCGAAAGCGATTCAATTGAGTCACTCTATCGATACTCTACGTGTGTCAGACTGTTATCAGCTGCTTGAGGTGATCATCCCGTATTTCACTATCAATCACTTGGATAAAAACAGGATGACAGAGTAGAGCGTATCTACCATTTTATCGAATCTACGCGAAATGATACGTAAAGGTGAAAGATGTTGATTTATTCACTGAAAAACCTGAACTACAGGCCACTAATATTCTCTTCATTTTACATTTTATCCAGGGAATTACTTCTACATATCTGAGAGTAGAACTCTCTGGAGGGAATCGCTACTCCATGGATCTGAATGTAAGCATTGATATTATTGGTTGTGCAGGTTAGCTTCACTTCTGCCTAAAGTTTCCCATTCTTCACAATACGTCAAACGTATTTAAATGGTAATTTCTTTTATCGTAGATAGCGCAAGCATGTGACATAAAGATAGATGTGTTTATTCGTTAGATATTTGAATGAGTGAATGAATTCGTCAGTCACTGGACAATAGATGACACCAATTAGTGATTCCGCATACGTCTATTGTCATTTTGTGATCCAGTGTCTGTGTATTGGGACTCCGTTGGATTATGAGGCTGTCGAAAACACAACAAGTGATTACTCTCCAATGCTACGCACCACAATCGCTTTGTGAATGACGATGTCATTTTGAATAGTTGATGCCCAGCCGCTCACATTGTTCAGAGGTGAATTGAGACCAACTGAGATCTAGTCAGTAATAGCGTGCACATCGCGTTATCCGAAGATGGGCAGTTCACTGACACATGGTCAATCCCTATGAAGATTCAGAACTTCAAGTATCTCTCTCTGAATATCCGTCACTCATTGCTTACTCACCGAGAATCAATTTCACTGTATCAGCAGGTTGGCGAAATTCACAACCTACACGTGCACATATTTTTGATGTTATAATAAACTGGTGATATGTTTGTATGTGTTGACCTGTGTGTATTTCAGCCGGACCAAGCCGTAAGTCAAATCACACAATACTTACTGGTGATCTGTAATACTAAGCATGTTCACCATGTTCATTGTATCCAACGAAATGCTGTCAACAAAATCCTTTCTACTTGAACAGGTAACGGACAACAGCCGGATTTAAGTGAATGTGATAGTCTTCTGACGATTAATCGCACTGAAGGTAATTCGAAACATGTCATTGCTTTGTGGAATTTGCACCGTCAGTTTTATCCCAGTATTTCACAGGCAGATGTAAATCAATTCATCCGACTGAGTAACAATTGATAGTGACTGTCATATTAGGTTTTTCGTAAACGACGAAGCTACTCTCTACAAAGAGAAAGTCTACTTCCTTGCAAATACTTTGATGATTCTACTTACAGAAAGTGCACTTTCGACTGACTGTATTTCTAGGGTTGTATTAATAATAATATTATTGTTCCCTTGGATTTCAAGTTGGACATGTGGCTTCACCAGCACATCTCCACTTCGTTCTCTTCTCTTCGGTGCTATTCAGCTAGCCTCAAGATTTCCAATGGGCGCTCATCCACTTACACATGGATTCATCAAATTCACTACTCTCGAAGATGCACCCTACTCGTCGATTTGTACTCAGATTCAGTTCGAGCGATGGCCTGGTGAGCGATGTCAACCGATGGCCTCCTCAGCGTCTGTCTGATGCATCTCGATTATCTCCGGCATATTTGTTGATCGATGGATTCCTGGTTGGTTGGTTGCTACAGTTTCTTGTCACTGATTGTCTCTAGTCATTTGAGTGATCTGCAATATATAAGTGACGATTTCAGACATGGACAACCGTCCGCGGTCTTCAGAAAATGCTTGATGTAAATATGTATATATTTGTTTATGCTGCTGAAAGGTTTCAATTGAAATGTGAATATTTACTCGGTCGATGTTGGCGTCTTCGGAATTTGCAATGCCTTCTGCCGTCCTCATCTGTCCACAAGTCATCATGCCTCTACATGATATGTGCTTGACTTTGCTTTCCATTCCAGAAATTAATGAGTTCACTCAACGGGTAACAAATTACAGTTATTTGAAACACCTGTCGGTGATAGCTTATGGTAAGCTGAAAAATTTGCAGTTGAATATTTTGCACGGCATATTCAACAGTCTAATATACTGTAAATGTCGAGTCTCAGGTGAAAGAGGGTCTCACACTCAGATTTTTCGCGTACCTTGCAGATATTAGTCTCGATGACTAGAAACGATGGACTTACACGATTTTATTTGTTTTCCCATATGCGCCTTTTCATGTGTATATATTAAGTAGGCATTTTCTGACGACGGACTTCATCTCCTCTTTTTAGAAACCAGAGCAATTTATGAGAATGTTAAGACGAATTTCAGGGTGAGTTTATGTACCAGAATCAATCCAAACAATCCCTATAACAAAAGTCAGTCCAATTACCGTGTATTATTCATCGCCACATCTCATGTCGTATTGAATAATGTCGTGTTGGTGTTTAGAGCCAAGTAGATGAGATGTTCACTTCTAATGAATAACTGAACACTGTGTAGTGAAAATTTCATCAATCAGTATTAAAGTTAGATGGGAAGCTTCAGCTTCTTTCGGATTGATTGTTGTGGCAGTTGTTTGGTGTGATGCTCTTAACTGAGGTGCTTAATACACGTCTTGTCCATGTTTGAATGCATGAAGGATATGATCCAGCGTATCGACTGGAGTACAATCGATTTGAGTAATTCAGTCATTTGAGCCTGAAAATGTCGAAAATTAGTGGTTGATTCACTTGATGAAACGTTTTCCATTCCTTCAGTATCGTCCTCGATTCTCTTGAAACTGCCACATTCATTCATGATTTTCTCAACTTTTCTTCTATTTCTGAAGATTGCATACCACAGACTGACAGGATATTTACTACCGTAATCCGTGTGATGTGAACAAATGAATTCAACTATCATCATGCATCATTTGAAGACAACGTGGTTCTTCTTTTCTCTTTCACTTGATTAGACTTTAGTACTGATATGTAGTCGTAGATTTAGTCTTAGTTGTAGTCTTAGTAGTAGTTATAATTGTAAAAATAGTAATAAAAGTGATAATAATAATAATATTTTGACATCACTTTGACTTCTCCCTACAATCTTCAATAATGGTGGTGTGTGTTTGTGTGTAAAATGTCATGGTCATATTAGAGATGAAGTGATGGGAAAATTCACCTGTGACTGTATTATTCCTTGCATTATAACTTACTCCTATCTTACAATCATTTCTCATTGTTAGTTTGAACAGAGGAATAACAAGCACATTTGCAGGATAATACGACTTCGCTTAGTTTCGTGGATTCTCTCCAAATGTGAACATACTCAACTAAATCAGATTACAATTTACAAAATGTTTGAACACACAGTTGTCATGGTGACTTGGAGTTGTAGACAGAAGGTTTCGACAACACAATTCCGAGAATGATGTGAGTAGACAAATTATTCAGTGTTAAAAGACTCACTGTTTACAGTAGAATTAGAGAGGCTGCATCGATGCATATTATGAATGAGTAATAGAGTCAAATTATGGCAGACAAATAGTCAAGTGAATTCCGATAAAAAATATGAATACGGGAAGTATGGAGAGATAAATGAGATAGAATGTTACAGTGTTGATTGTGATTGTTTCCGTCGTTTCATTTACTGATCCTATTGTACACAGTGGTGAGCAAAGCAGTTGGATACGGTGATCAGGGCTTCTGGTGTTGATTACTAAGTAAATAATTTGTCTACTCATAAGAGACGTATTTCAGCTCTACTTCTTAGGTTACTAGAAAGATGGTTGATGACCGAAAATTTCTAGCTTGGTTTAATTTAACGCCTACTAATAACTAAGTGACACATAACCGCACTGTTTATGCATCTAGTTGCCACTTAACTCAAATATGCTGGTACAGGTTCACGTATGAACTACTTCATTTTTGGTGACTTGTCGATCTCTGGATTTGAATATTCTTATTTCATTTTCTAAGAGGATTGTGAAATCTCTCACGTCAGCCTAGGATAACAGACTGAGATTGTGATGTCAAAATGAGTGCAAATTTTGAAATCGAAGTTTGTGGATAAACGAAAGAAAAGTGAGACAGAAAATTGGAGTGTTGATTATTATTGATTCCACAGAAGGGCTTTTCGACTTTACTGTACACAATGGTGAACAAATCAGTTGGATACAGAGATCAGGTCTTCTTTCACTGGTTCCTGCCGTCTTCATCACTGATAGGTGACACAGTCCGGCTCTTCTACATAGGTAACAAGGATCACAGCAGATAAGGCAAAACATCTCCTATGGTTTAATTTGTTGTCCATTATCCATCTAGTGAAATAAATCTGTACTTGATCTGGTATTCTGGAAGTCACAGGTTCGATCCCAGATACAGTCCTGGATGTGTACTGCTAAAGAGTCACACATTACAATGGAAAAACTATCCCGTGTTTTCCAGTTTTCAATGATTCTATGAATATTGTTAGATCATGACGTCATCTATATTATACTTGGATTTTGTTTTCATCTGATCCATTAATCGATCCTTGTTGAAACTGACGATAAAGAGCGTGAATTTCATGGAATAATCAATTTTAACTCCGAGTTCAACTGCATCGTTATACAATTATTTAAGCATAGTCATCAAATGCTGAGCAATTTCAAGCGAGTAGTTTCCCTCTCTAAACGTTTCACCGTCTAGGCCACAGTTTTTTAGCAGTCATCTTACTCGCATTTCATTGAACACAAAACTTGAAGTAAATCAGTCGAATTCCTGCAAAACACAACATTTGAAAAGGTAATCTCGTGACTGACTGCAGAATGAAGTTGTGACTGAAGTTGTTGTGGTGAGGAGTCGTGACCAGCAGGCTGCATCAAGTTTGGTCCCTCACGAATAGGACAGATACACACCGACGATACTGGCCAGTAGTTGCGATATATCTCGCGAATTGTGAGAATTTACAAATCATGAGGTCGGCGACTGGTTGTCGTCTCAGGAATTCAGTGGTATGGGTGAATCCACTTTGTAGCCTGGAGGTGTTGGGGTTGATCACTGGAGGTGGGTTTTCACCTGTGTACTTCTAGAAAAGCCTGAACTAAGAAGAAACAACTGTCCTGTCAAAGTCGACCATGTATCCGATGAATACAAGAGATTCATTCTTATAATTCACTTGATATTTTAATTTTGATAATAATAATAATAACAGCTTTATTTCAAACTGTATTTGTGGTAAAGACATGGAAGTTTTAGCGTGCTTTACAGTATTGCATCTAGTTACTCCATAAATTTTATAAGATTTTAAAATCAAAAAGCAACACCAAAAAAAGATAAAAAAATAAATAAAAAGAACAGCGTTGCGTTTACATTTTAAACAATGCGCCACAGGGTATGAAATATAAAATTAGTGTGTAATAGAAGATGAGAACAACACTGTAATGGTAACAAGGAAAGGAAAACAAAAACTAATGGGACTATTTGTTAGAGTGTCGCAGTAAGTTTATCGTGTCATACCTAACGGATTTTCCATCACATAACAGCTGTGCCAGATATGGTATTGTGGAGTTTTGTACTTGATAGTCCTAGCATATAGCCTCCTATAACTGCTTCTAGTTCTACCAGATGAAATGAAAGGAGAGAGCTGTGTATAGAGAGGATGCTAAGGGTCTGACAATATAGTATTCGCTAGTTTCTTACACGACATTATATGTCTATCCACAATAGTGTTAACCAGTTGGTTTAACGATATCTCACTTGCCCTACTAATGGCTTTTAGTGCCCTTCTCAGCAAAGCAAAGTCATTCTTAAGTAGTCCAGGAAAGATTAATGGGGAGCAGTAAAGGGGGGTGGGTAGAATACAAGAATTGACAAATTGAGAAAGCAAAGACTGCTTTATACCAGACTGCCTTAACCTCCTAACGTGGAACGTTAAGTGAAACATCTTTCTAGTAACTAGCAAGATGTGGGAGGACCAGGAAAGATCGGAGGAAATACTCAGTCCAAGGTATTTGACATTAGATAAAATTTCAACTTCTGTGCCGTCAATGAGAGTGGGGCCATGTGAGCTAACTAGTTGTTGTAGGTTACGTTTTCGTGTGAAAGTGAAATTGACTGCCTGACATTTAGACGGATTTAGCTTAAAACCGTTTGAAGAGGACCACTGACTAGTTTCCGACAGAAAGTTATTTAATTTGGAACAATCTGACTGAGAGTTGACAGGCATAGAAGCAGAGAGGTCATCAGCACACTTAACAAAAGTGGCTACATCAGAATGGAGCAAGTCATGTAAGAAAAAAGAAAACAGAAAAGGAGAAAGGACAGCACCTAGATGAACACCAGCTAAAGTAAGTGAGGTAGTGGAGGACTTTCCATTGTAGACGGTGTACTGCTTCCTATCAGAAAAATAGGAATTCAACCACTTATTTATCCAGCTCTCAGCCTGTGTTTCAGCAAGCTTACTTAGCAGGAGAGACCTAGGTACAGAGTCAAATGCAGATGTGTAATCAAGGAAGGCACAGCGAACGTATTTAGCTCCGTTTATCTAAACTAGAGACTATACTATGATGTAGGACAACAGCGCCATCTAAGGTACGACTACTATGTTTATAAGCAAACTGGTTGGGGTCATCGAAAGGCTTTAAAGAGGGTTCAAGATAAGGTAAAATAAGTCTTTCCATAACTTTTAAAAAAGGTGAGTTAATAGCAATGGGTTTAAACTTAAAAGTAGGTCCACTTGTTGATTTAGGCACTGGAACAATCTTGATATTTTTCCATGAGTCAGTATAATATTTTTGGAAAAGATTCGTTGAAAAATGTCGGTTAATGGAGAACATATGATGTCAGCACACTTCTTAAGGATAACAGCAGGAACTCCATCAGGAACAAGGGACTTAGTAGGTTTGAGAGATTGAAGACACTTAAGGATATTATTCGTAATAAAGCATGAGAAGCAGTCATTATTTACACTGTTAGAGTTAGGAATCATAACATGAGCAGGGATACATATGAAGGATTTATTAAGCATATCAATATCGACAGAAGAATCATTCATTATTTGCTTACCACCTGCGATTTCGCTTAATAACTTCCACATATTAGATGACGATTTAAATCAAAGAAACTTCTGGTTATAGAGAACATTCAATCTATGTAATTCAGCTTTAATCAAAGTGTTCATTCTCTTAACACCAGTTTTATTTTTCATTTTGTACAACCTCTCTTTTTCACGGCGAAGGTTTTCGAGTTGAGAAGAGGAGAAGCGGTCGAATTGTAAGAAGATTGTCTCTTTTGGACAACAAACATCAAGACAGAAATTAAGATAATGTGTTATGTTAGTAATTGTGTTACCAAGAGCTTGTTCAGTAAATAAGTCCCAGTTTGTATCTTTTAACATTGCCCTTAGATTCTGTATGTTGTCATGGGAATAACATCTGTGTTGTGTTTTCTTTTCAAGGTATGAGGAGACCCTTTTGTGCTGCTTTCCACATACTTTGGGCAGTATTCTTATGAAATAGTGATCAGAATTAAGTAGTGGGGCTCCTTTTTGAGCTTCAAATATTTCTGTGTCATTTGTAAACACAAGATCAAGAGTATAAATTCAGTCGAGTAGGGAAGTTGACAATGTATTCATGTCCGAGTGAAATAAGGAAGCTGTGGTCACTAGACTTGAAATCTCCAGTAACTATAGACAAGGAGTTGCCGGAGAAGGTGGCAGCAAGGGAGGTAAATTCATCCGCGAATAAAGACAATTCTGTGGAATTGCATCCAGAAGCAATATAAATGTTCGAGATAAATATGTAATTATATATTTTGACAAGTGTTTAGGTCGACAGTTAACGATGAGGCAGTGAATATTGTCACTAGGGAATTCGAAACATACATTATTAGATGTACACCGTTGTGAATTGGTGCAGATGGCAAAACCACCACCGCGTTTCTTCCTAGAACTACACCGATCTTGCCTGAATAGTTTGAAATCATTCAGATACACTAGATTGTCATCATATAGATCATGTAGCCATGATTCTTGAAGTGATATGATCCCAGTATTACGATATATAATGGAAGACACGAGTAATTAAAGATAGTTAATTTTAGCTG